GATGACCTTCACTGGGAGTAGATTCCACAGATCGCGAAAGAAAGTGTCTTATCTTAAAATAATGTTACAAAATAGTGGTCTTATGTTAAATAATTTTTTGTCCAAGTTAGTGACACTACACACATTTATTCATATAGGTAACTATTCTAGTGTCAAATAATATATTTTCAACAAACAAGAACACTGATCATACAATACCCGTTTTAACCTATTTCAATTTCTCGGAAACTAAATCCAGATGATCCCTGTTTTGGACCAGGACTCCAAGTTCCATTATGATCTGATTTAAATGGGTACCCATGTCTGGACAGGACAATATGTATAAAGCATAAAAATTCTATAAATTATTTTTAATAATCGCTTTCAATCGGCTGTATGGAGCTGCAACGTTTACGTATTAAATCAATGATAATAAAATGATTAGTTTAACAAAGATAATATATCCGTGGTTGTTTCTATTATTTACAGCGTAATATATAACTATCGTGTCTGGAAATTACCTTATTTTAAATTGTTAATAACAAATGTAAATTTGATAGTCGAAGACTGGCTCGAGTAAGAAACGATTAGCGATTTAATATCTTAAAAACTTATTAAGAAAATTCCTGTCTCTGGACGTGTTGAGAAAAATGTAAGGAATGCCGGCATATCTAAGATCCTAAAATCGATTGTATGTTACGCGTAGTGATCGCCCACTTATTACTAATTTACCAGCGAAATCATTTCACTGACCATAGCCTAGAGTTTCACTGTATTAAAAGAAGTGCTTTGCATATGAAAATGTATTGCTATTACGCCAATAAAACATTCGTAAATCGCTGTATTTTAATGTTACCTAACAAAACCTAAACCCACATCTTTGATAATTTAATTACCGTAAATATGTTGTATAGAAATAATATTATATACAGAACGTAAATCAATGTTTTCTTATTACGTTTGTATTATATAAACTCAAAAAACTCACCTTGATATTGAAATCCTTCGTTGATCTTGAATGTGAACAACTTGATTCGAAATTATTATAAATCACAACACAGCCAGTCCCGATATTTTAAATAGATTTTATCGAATTGAGTGTTAGGAAAAGAATATGGCGCAGTGTGATGCCACTAAATTGGGGTTGAACGCGCATGCGCGGATTGCCCTACGTTGGAAAATAAGGGGTGAAAATACCCCAACAAAAGCAATTTCAATTTCTAATTAAAAATAATTAATATTTGGCTACCCGATAAGTTCCTACTAAATGGCCTTTTCCAACTGATAGAAAACTTTAATTCGAGTCAACCGATGTCTCAGAAGCCCTACAGTGCCACAAGAGTCTCTAGCTATCGTAAATATATATATATTATATATGTTAAGTGATGATCGCCGAGTCCCGCGGTTTTATCCGCATTCATTCGTACTGTTTGCAGCCTTTCTATATAAATATACACTGCAAATTTTTTTCAGTTGAAACCAATGGTTCCTGAAGAAATCCAAACAAACATATTTGTCTAATATATCTGTCTCTAATTGGTTATAATATCTCTATTAAAATAACAGTTAGTTAATAATTGCAGGTAAATTTTTTAGTGTTTTTTTATTACGTATTGAGTGTAAACCGAAGAAAATATTATTTTGTCAAAATAGGTAAAGAAATTGGTTATATATTATATACAATGCGAAATAGTTAAACACTTAGTAATTAAAAACGATTTTTATTTCGCATAAGTTATGTTTAAAAAGATTGTTAATATTGTTTCCTGAAACAGGGACGACCAGTAATGAGGTCTCATGATGACATACAGTTGATAGATGACAGACGAGGAGAGGATGATCTCAGTAAATAACACAAAGGCCTGGAAGAAATTGGTCTTTGCCAAAAGCGACCCATATTTTAACCAACAAATAGATACATAAGTATAATATTTTACATTATTGCAAATCTACTTTAAAGTCTGATAAACTATCTATCTAATAGTTCAATTGTATGCACATATTACATATTATGCTGTTAAAGTTGCTTTAATTTTAAAATACGAGATATTTTTATCCAATTTATAATTCATTAAATAAATAAATTCATATTTCCCGCCCTTTGAGTTTCCGATATATAAAGTTGTTGTTTGTTCTCTATGTCATCACTGAACTTGTCATTTATAGGTAGATCTGTGGTTCTAAGTCCATAGATGTTTTATTGATTGTAATGACACTCATACCAGGCCATAAAATAAAAAAAAAATAAAAAATGACACTCATTAAGGGTCCGTTTCACAATGTACGGATAAGTTCTACATAAGTTCCAAATTAGTTATTTATTACTTATTGGTAGGATAAACACTATTGTTGCGTTTCACGACTGTCAGATAGCGCTATTCGTCACATTAAGTCCATCATAAGTTTGAGTCCGATGAAGTGTCAAATAGCACAATTTATCTTCCAAATAATTTATGTGTTGCATAGCTATTTGGTACTTTATCCATACATTGTGAAACAGACCCTTAGTCTAGAAAAAAAGCCGATAAAATAAACAGCCGCTTTTTTGTTTGACAAAACATTGCATTCTATGTAACCTAATATAGATTAGTCATTTTCTGCAACATATATAGTAATACATAGTAATGTGTTTCTCATATTACCTTCTTGATAAATAAATATATACAAGATTGGAAAATATTACAGTTTAACATAAAGATAATATAGAATATTCCTTGTTTGCTTTAACACTGGATAGATGGCGTGTTATCAAATTAGGCGATGTTTGACATAAAAATAATCAGCGTTACAACCTTTTTAAGTCTGGGCCTCAGATTTCTGTATCTGTTTCATGATCAATTCTCAATCTGATAGGCAAGTAGGTGATCAGGTGTGATTGACACACGCCGTCGTCTTTTTGAGTCTAAGGCTAGCCGGTTTCCTTACGATGTTTTCCTTCACCGTTCGTGCGAATGTTAGATGCGCATATAGATAGTCCATTGGTGCACAGCCGGGGCTTGAACCTATGACCTCAGATATGAGAGTCACTCGCTGAAGACACCAGGTTGTCTGTAATATGGTCTTGATAGCGCGGTATCAGTATTGATAATTAAATAGACCTATTATATATATACCCGAGAAATTACGCAATTGGATCTCCAGCTTTCTGGCCGATCGGAGCATCAAGGTCGTCATCGACGGAGCATGTTCCGACCTAAAACCCGTAAACGCTGGGGTCCCACAAGGCTGTGTTCTATCCCCGACCCTATTTCTTCTGCATATCAATGATATGTTGAAACTTAGCAACATTCATTGCTATGCGGATGACAGTACTGGGGATACTTTTTACACTGGCCGGGCAGGTATTTCTCGGGCAGTTGTTGATGAGTACCGGAACAAACTTGTGTCTGAAGTTGAAACTCTACTTCGTGGAGTCTCAGATTGGGGCAGACAAAACCTAGTCCAATTTAACCCCAAGAAGACACAAGTTTGCGCGTTTTCCGCTAAAAAAACACCCTTTGTCGCTACTCCTCTTTTCGAAAACACTCTTCTTAAAGCCACAGCCAGCATTGGAATACTTGGCGTTGACATATCGAGCGACGTTCAGTTTCGCGGTCACTTGGAGGGAAAGGCTAAATTAGCCTCCAAAAAGCTTGGTGTGCTCAGTAAGGCGAGACGGTACTTCACTCCGGGCCACCGCATGCAACTATATAAAGCGCAAATTCGGCCCCACATGGAGTACTGCTCTCACCTCTGGGCGGGGGCTCCCCAGTACCAGCTCCTTCCACTTGACCGTATACAACGCAGAGCGGTTCGAATCGTTGACGACCAATCCCTCTCCGAGCGGCTTGATCCTTTGGCGTTGCGTAGAGATGTGGGGTCACTCTGCATCTTCTACCGCATTTACCATGGAGAGTGTTCAGAGGAGTTGTTCGGATTAATACCTGCAGCTGAGTTTCATCATCGGACGTCGAGGCAGAATACGAAATTCCACCCGTATCACCTCGACGTCCGACGTTCCACAACTGAGCGTTTCTCAAGGCAGTTTTTGCCGCGCACCACCACTATGTGGAACCAGCTGCCCACTGAAGTATTCCCGAACCAATTCGACTTAGGGTCCTTCAAGAAAAGAGCGTACCAATTTTTAAAAGGCCGGCAACGCACTCGCGAGCCCTCTGGCATTGAGAGTGTCCATGGGCGGCGGTATCACTTAACATCAGGTGAGCCTCCTGCCCGTTTGCCCCCCGTTCTATAAAAAAAAAAAAAAAAAAAAATTTTTCAATTCCTTTTTGGCTGCTTTAAGAAAGTCAGCGCAGACCTATTAATCACCTCATTTTATCTGTGGTTATTGATGATGAACGATTGTTTGAATTGAAGTTACTGAAGGTTATCACACCGTAATGTCATTTAGAATTGTGCACCTGACATATGGGAGTCCTACTTAGCGCTAAGTATCGATTTAAAATTTTACTTTTAGAAGCTGGCGTTTAGTATTCACGGATATGAATTTTATAAGGAGGTAGGTAAATAAAACAACCGAAAACTATAGGAATAAAATTTGTATTTCACAATTCAGAAATGTTCGATACATATTGTAGTCTTTAATAAAATATAACTATACTATGCAATAACACTCAAAAATATATCTTAGACGTACGTAGGGTATTTCATTAAAATAACGATAATTGTATACGAGTACCCTTCGATCCTAACACAAAACATATGTATATGAGAAATAATTTCCGAAAAGGCTGTTAATCATTCGCCTAAAATTACATTAGATCGTTATATAAAAATAATCATTGCAAACATTTACAATAAATGAGATATTAACCGATGAGGGTAGACGCAAATTTAACCCAAAAAAACACAGTTTACTGACACGAGTGTACGTCTGTGTGTGTAATTTAAAGCCAAGTAAGCACTATAGGAATTGCACCTGGCTCCGTCGCAGGTAACCATTCAAAATAAATGCTCCTACCACAATCCTACACGAACATATCAACAATCGCATTGCGAGAATATCCTAACACTTAGCACCTTTATTTGGTCATTCCCTGTTTAGCTCGTTTCTCCCATTCGGCCCTCATCTGCAGGATGCCCTTGAACTGGGGCGCGGCGTCCGACTCCTCCCTCTCCCTCCCGCTCTCTTCCTTCTCCTTGTCTGCGTCCTTGTCTATCACGGCGGTCGTGTCCTCCGCGGAGAGTCTGAACTCGTCTTTCCTCTGCCAGGGCCGTCTCAACGTGTCCGCTTTGTACGACTCGCTCTTGGCGATGTTTTTGATCTCCTCTCTGTCGTTGGAGGGGTCCGGGAACGTTCTGTTCCTGAGTCTCTTCTCGGGCGTCGAATCGGAGACTTCTTTCTTGTACTTGTTCACCTCGTTTCTGTACGTGGGGGTGGTCTCCCGTTTCGTGGAGACGCTGTGGATGCTGACGCTTCTCTGATAGTGCGGGACTCCGAATTGGCTGACTCTCGCCGCTATATCCACGAGCTTATTCTCGATTCTTTCTTTTTCCTCGTTCTCTTTATCGCTGTCTCTAGATTTTATTGAAGCGTTGAATTCGTTTTTGAGAGATTTAGTTCGCGTCGTGTCTTCTATTTTGTTGCCGTTGGCGTCCCTCTTTTCGGCTATTTCCTGAGCTATGCAGTCGGCCTCGCAATCCTTAAGCTTCAACGATCGCCTGGCGAACACTTTCATAAGCTCGGGTTCATCGTCATTCCTGTGCCGCGAGTCCCTGTTCAGGACTGTTTTCTTCCGATAGATCACGGTCTCCTCGTGCCTGTCGGGAATTTTGTTCTCGTTGCTGTCCGTGCTCTGGATGGAGCTTTTGCTTCCGAAGCTGGAGTGCGATTTTCTATCCATCGATATGTTGTCGTCGATTTTTTCCGAGCTCCCGTCGGTGCTCACGGAGTTGGCTCGAGGTTTCTCGGGCCTGTCGTGTTCGACGCTCGCGGATTGCCTCTTGAAGAACATCTTGGGGGTAGTCGGGGTCTGCGGCGTGGTCGACGTCGCCGCGTTTGGTTTCGGGGCCTTTTCTTCGAACACGATCGGTGCGCTGTCAACGCTCTGGATGGAATCTCGTTTACTCTGAGAAACCATCTTCGTCTCTGTCGGGAAGAAACTTTCGCTCTCTTGTTCTTTATCCGTCTGGATCTCCGTCTTCTTAGGCATGACGTTTGCCGTCAGAACTACATTCGGAACCGGCTTGGTGTCGACTCTGTTCAATTGTATATGCAGAAACTCGGGAACACCTTTAGCGCCCGTCTTATGAAGCTTTTCATCGCTCTTAACGATTTTGGGCAATTCAGTTTCTCTGACCGGCGGTTCTTTGTTGATATGAGTGACGGATATAAAGTTTTCCACGTCAGGTCTTGATTCTCTCTGGCCGGAAGGCTTTCCGCTATGGCTGAGTGCGCTCTCGACCGAGCCGGTCTTCCTCTTGTCGGTTTGTTTGTCCATCGCTTTCTCGGGGCTACTCTTAATGCTATCTAAAGAATTCGATTTCAGCATTGGGGCGATGATGGGCTTGGGCGAACTGATGATGTCGTCGATTTTGGCCTCTATCTGAGAGATGTCGCTGTCGCGTTTGTGAGCATCCATCGCTGGGCGAAGGCCGTCGGAGAAGAGTTTCCCGTCCTCGTCGGCGTCGGGTTTGAGGCTGTCCAAGTAGCTGCTATCGGTACTCGGCAGGCTGTCGTAGTGGTCGCCGTTCCCTTGAACGTTAAAGTTTCTGGCCGAAACTCTCTTAGAGAAATCGTGTCTTTCTACGTTTCGCCTGTAGTTGACTTCCCAACTCTCGAGGAGAGGTTCCGGGAAGCCCACGATAGTCGGCAGACTCGGCATCTGGTTCTCCTGGGATCCGATGGACGGAGACTCGGACGCGTATCGGAAACTGTGAGACTTTCCGACGCTGTTCCTAGTCTCGACGTACTCGTCTCCGAGAGACCTGAGCCCCGACGCGACGTACGAATCCTCCGCTCTCCTCGCGTGGAAGCTGTCTCGCTTGAACTCCTTTTCGCGGAACTCGACCTCCGTCCTCATCTTAACGTTTTCGGAGCTGTGTGACGGTTTTTGCGAACTGGAAATCGCGATGCTGGGGTTGAAGTAAGGCAAGTTTTTGGGCATGCTGCCGCTGTGGAAGACGTTGTCGCTCTTCACGTTTCTGATTCGCATTCCCCGAGTCGGTTCGTCGTCTGCCGCGGTCGAGAGGGTCTCCTCGTGAGATCTGGACATAATTTCGTTGGAAATGAACGCTTTGGAGGAGAATGGGTCCATCAGCCGCTGGACCGAGGCCGGCCTTTTGGATTTATCGTGATGCAGACTGAATGACTCCCTTCTGTCTTCTATCTCTTTGGATCGTCGTTTCTCATCGTCGCGTCGACTGCATCGCTTCATTTCCAAGTTGAGCAGTTTATCGGTTTCCTCGGCAACCTTGAGATCGATGTTGTACTCGAGTCCTGGGACTTTGGCCGCGCTGTACACGTCCCTGTAGGCCCCGTCGTGCACGTAGGCCCCCTTGTGGTCGAGGCGTTTGTGCATCTGGTTAGCGAAGGCTTTCTGTCCGGCGGACTTGTACCGCTCGACCTGCTTGTACTCGTTCCTCTCGTCCGTCGTTCTGTACTGAGTCTTCTTCTTCTCGGGGCTGTCGCCGTCCGTCTGGTCTTTCTTCTTCTTGCCGCTCTTGCGCAGCAGGAGTCTGCTAAAGAACGACTCTTCCCTTTTCGAAGAGCGCGAAGCTTCGTCTTTCTTTTCCGGTTTCGTCTTCTTTTCGAGGCAAGATTCTTCGGCGTATTTCTTTTCGGAGCGGTATTTGGTCCTCTCCTCGTAGACTTCGACTCTTTTCGGTGAACTTTCCCGGTCCTGAGTGCTGGACTTGCTTCTCTTGATAGAGGACCTCGGGGTGTGGGTCTCGGCGATGCTCAGCTTCGCCGGGGACGGTCCCACGACCTGGCTCAGGGCGAGACCCGGGGGCAAAGAGGAAGACTTGAGTTTGGTGTCGCTCGGTGTTTCGAGGACTCTGTTGAGTTCTCGCGTCAGTTGTTGATGCTGCTCTTTCATCAGATGATGCTTCGTGGTGGTCGATGAAGAGAATGATTCTGAAATTTAAAAATTATTTCTGTTAAATAAAAGATTCACGTAGTTATATGTATATGTTTTGAACATATTAAAGTAAATAATCAATTTTACATAGAAAAATAAACAATAATGCAATACAATACAATTACTAATGGCGCTACAAGCTTTTAGGTCTAGGGTTCAGATTTCTGTATAGTGATTATTTCTAATAGACAAGTAGGTGATCAAACTTCTATGCCTGACACATGCCATGCCGGTTTGATTACGATTACGAGCGAGTGTTATATGTGAAAATAGATAAACAGTCCATTGGTGCACAGCCGGGAATCAAACCTACGACCCCAAGGAGTCGCACTTTGAAACCACAACACTGCTATATATTTATTATTTATACAATACATTTAAGATAGAAAAACTATGACCAAAAAAAAATCTTTTTAATTATGATCACAAATTTCGCACTTCTTCTCTTCTTCTTTTTTTTTAAACAGGGGCGGGCGGGCAGGATGCTCACCTGATGTTAAGTGATACCGCCGACCATGGACACTCACTGCCGGAAGGCTTGCAAGTGCGTTACCGGCCTTTTAAGAATTGGTACGCTCTTTACTTGAAGGACCCTAAGTCGAATTGATTCGGAAATACATCGATGTGCAGCTGGTTCCACATAGTGTTGGTGCGAGGTGATACGGATGGTATTTTGTATTCTGTCAGATGATGATCACTCTCCATGGCAAATGCGGTAGAAGATGCAGAGAGTCCCCACATCTCTACGCAACGCCAAGGGATCAAGCCGCTCGGAAAGGGATTGGTCGTTGACGATTCGAACCGCTCTTCGTTGAATACGGTCAAGTGGAAGGAGCTGGTACCGTCTTTGCATTATTTCGATTTCATTGACTTTTAAAGACAGTCTTCGAAGACATATGAGTTTGCCATATGATGAAGTTTACCATATGATGAAGAGCACACAAATAAATCCCAATAACGCAGAATACAATCTGTGGAATAATGTGTCAGAAGATACGCACCAGTAACAACTTCTGAGCTCTTGATGGTGACTTCAGGAGTGGTGCTTCGGATCACTTCTTCGTTCAGTTCGGGAGTTATCGGCAAGGCTGAGGCGGCAATCTAGAATTAATAAACGATTTTTTAAGGTTAAAATAGTGAGAAAGGTTTTGAATGACATTAACATAATAGTTTTAATGTACGCCAGAATTTTCGTGCAGAAATCCTCGGAACAATGAGGTCGCTCTGTGAAGCCTGCGAAGCGAGACTTCTGTGCTTCTGGAAGGAGTTAGGCTGGCTTACTTAGACAGGACTTTACGCACGACCGACCTATTGAGAGTCTAAGTGCGGAAACTGAGTCCACAAACCAATAACCAAGGCTGTACATTTTACTCTCATTCTTAGTTTTATAAGCGTAAAAAAATATGTTTATTATGGAACATAACATACAGGTATCACTTATTCCACGTATTTAAATTATTAATCCCTACTTATCGGCAAAGAAGACAGAGGGTGTAGGCCAAGAGAAAAAGCCGGCGTAAAAACTCTCGGTACTCTTTTAAAATAGCAAAATCATCAAACAACACCTATTTTAAAACAAATATCGCAAATTAATTAGAAGTAGCCTGTCTAGCACTAGTCCCAGGCCCTTTTATCAACTAGATAATCGTTGACTTTATAGTAAGCCTTTATACACAGCTTTTCTTTAATATTTCTTAAATTTATTGAAATGCAGAGATAAAAGAGCCTCTGGGATTTTATTAAAGAAGACTATCCCTTTCCCCAAAAAAGAATTACTAACTTTAGATAGTCTAGTACGGGGAAATTGCAGCCTGCGTTTGTTCCGTGTATTAACATTGTGCGTATGTTCTATTCTAGTAAACTTATCACTATTTTTGTATAGATACATAATATTTTCATAAATATATTGCGAGGGAAAGGTAAGTATATTAATTTCCTTGAATTTATCTCTAAGAGATTCCCTACATTTTAAATTATAGATTGCACGAATAGCCCTCTTCTGCAGGATGAAAATAGTTTCGACATCAGCAGCATGACCCCATTATAATAAACCGTTACATAGCAATTAACATTTAATTTAAACTCGAACTCAAAATAACTTTATTCATATAGTCTGTCGGCTGTATCTTACCGGCGTAGCTCTCTTCCGTCGCGTGGCGGGGTGCGTGCGTCGTGGGCGCACGGCCATCTTGTGTCGGGCGGCGGAATGGGACAACGGCGCCACTCCCGGTGGAGGCTCCGATGTGTCTGAAATAATAAATAGGTTGTGACAAAATTCATCTATCGCTAGTCTACACTTAGGGAGTGCCTGTGTTGTGGGTAACTAGGCAGTTTTTTGAGAAATAGGTATAGTGTTACAATTTTCAAACAAAAGTTTGAAAATGTGTGAGTGTGTGAATGTGTGTGTGCGCGCATGTATTGAGTGTAGCTGAGTTGTTATGAGCGTGCGCGGTGTCAGATGTAATTTTTGCAACCTAATAATTATTAACAATAATTATTATTAATAATATATGAGGTTTTAACAGATTTCACATGGATGGAATACATAATGTATAGACTGCACCCGTGCGTGGAATCATTAATAGCATCAACAGCTCAAGTATTATACAATTTCAAAATTAGTACAGCTTAAACTGATCTGATCTCTTTCGAAGTCAAAATATGACCCTAAAATAAAAAATAAAAAAATGTTTATTATGGAACATAAGATACAGGTATCACTTATGCCACCTCTTTAAATTTGAATTTGTAGGCATCCCTACTCATCGGCAAAGAAGACAGAGGGTGTAGGCTGAGAGGAAAGTTCGGCGTAAAATACTCTCGGTAATATATGTAAGGAAAAAATAATATATTTTCCTATACAAACTCTTGTCTATATTGTATTTTATATAAACTCTTTTGTAATGTTGTCTTTGCCGTCTGATCGACGATGTTTAATTTATGTCACTTGGCATAATATATGTAAGATATTTTAATTTTTTTCATTATATTATTTACTTTATAAAACCTAGAATATAGGCTTTAAATGTTGTTTCTTTTGTATTCACAGGTGAGTGAATAATTTGTAAATATATACTTTTTATTAAATGTAAATTAATAGATATTTCTTTTGTATTTACAGAGTAATGCAGTTGCGCCTTATTTATTCCTTGTATAAGCGATTGATACTATTATATATATATAGTATGCTCAGCCAAGACCTTAGGGCCATCAGTGGTTGGAGGCTCCATTACTCAATGTACTTACTGTATATATCAGAATGGTCGCTCCTAACGGAGGTGTCGTGTTGATGTCCGCTGCTGGTGTCCTCATCCATCTCAGAGGAACCGACGCTGAGGAGAGAGCCATCGCTGCACGAGGACTGAGATATACCAGCATGGTGCCGCTGAAATGTTCCAATTGAGGCTATTAATGATCTAGAAAGATCGAAAATACCAAAGTATTTTGTCATTATTTTTAATATAATATTGTATAACAGTTTCATTATATATATAGTTTATATATTTATTGAAGTGAAACTTCTTTGGGCTCATGAGGGTAAAATTTTTACGAAACGTCACGAAGATGTGCAGCATTTTTGTCGAAGAAAAGGTAGAGAGTGAGAAAGGTGAACTTTACAGAAATTCTATTTTTCAAATAAAAATTTGGTAAAGAGAATTTATGAAATATGATATTTATATTTTATGCAAAATAATTTATTGAAATCTCAAATGACGAATTGTAAATAAAATGCCACGTGTTTTATTATCAAATAAAAAAATTAAATTTATTATTTGTATTAATTTTTGACACTTAATATTTTAATGACAATTAAATTCATTAAATTCCTAACATATCTTCCTTTTTCCCTCCCTCTAGGTCTCGGAAATCTAGTACCTAGTAATCTAACTAGAATGTTTTAGATTTGTATAAATATGATCAAGAGTTAAAAATTAGTTTACCAAAGAAGTTTCACTTCTGACTTGTGTACTTTGTACGCACGCACTTATTTACGTCTAATCCATCTTTTAATAGGTCTTTTAACAATACTTGTGCTCTAATATCGATACGAAGGTAGCGTAGATAGTTTCGTATTCTGAAATAAACGCAGGAATCGTATTCATACTGATAACAAATTGTATCGAAAATCAAGCAGTGTTGGCTTCAGCGTGACTCTCATGAGGTCGTAGGTTCGATCCCCAGCAACAATGGACTTTCTATGTGCGCATTTAACACTCGAACGGTGAAGGAAAACATCGTGAGGAATATCATGGAGGACCCAAGAAGTCGACGGCGTGTGTCAGGCACAGGCTGATCACCTACTTGCCTAAAATTTACAAATGATCATGAAACAGATACAGAAGTCTAAGGCCTAAGGTTGTAGTGACACTGCTTTATTTTTTTATCGAAAATCAATCTGTCAATATGACATTGACATTCTTTTTCATTGTTCCACTTTAGGGTTGCCTGGAAGAAATCGCTTGTTAGCGATAAGGCCGCCCGTTGCCTTACAACTTTTGTAACCCGTTTTTTTTTTTTGTTTTTTGTTATGTGCATGTTTTTTATTAAGGTAATAAAGTATAAATGAATAAAAATAAATAAATAAATTGATTTATAGGAATGACGTAATTTACGATACTTAAACTTAAGACAGATAAAAACATAAATTAACTTAATATATATATATATATTTTTTTTTTTTTTAAAGACAATACACACCAATTGACCTAGTCCCATGCTAAGCTGGTGAAGCTTGTGTTATGGGTACTAGGCAACGGATATACATACATATTATAAATAGATAGACATATAAATACATATTTAAACACCCAAGACCTAAGCACAACACCAAATGCTCGTCACATCGATGTTCGTCTCAGCCGGGGATCGAACCCGGGACCCATGTATTCGCAGTCAGGGGTACTAACCGCTAGACCAATGAGTCGTCAAATAAATAGTCGTAAAATATATAATTAAAGAAAAAATCTTACGAAAGACTAGGCGGTATGGTCGAAAGACTATAGCCAGAAAAAAGGCAGAGAAGCTTCACTGAGACATCGTAGATTATCATCTAGCCAAACCAGTGGCGGATTTTCTAATAGGCTGTGAAGTTTGTGCCGCCCTTGCCTCTACAGTTGTCATCTCCTAGATTATTTTAACGATCCCAAATTGCACGTAAAATAGACACTAATTGAGCACAATTATACACAAACCATCCAGTTCGCAGCCTCCAACCAGTAGTAAGACAAACATGTATATTGTATAAGTTGATAGGGGGAAGAGAGAAGAGGGAAATACATTTTCAGCAATTTCGCTCTTTTCTCTACACGAAGAGTGAGCTAAGGGCGTAGAGGTGGTATTCTGGTTGGGTGACGACGAACTAGCTGTTTTATTCTAGAATATGGATGTTTGCTCAATCATGTAAAATGACAAGTGAGAAGTGAAAGTTTGTTGCAGACTACTGTAAACATCAAAAACGTCAAAATCTGTTTGATTTCTAAGAGGTAGCAAAAACTAATTTGCCGCCCCAAAATCTGCCACCCTAGGCTCCAAGCCTACTCAGCCTGCTGGTAAATCCGCCACTGAGCCAAACTTAAGACTAGTACCTTAAGTGTAGCCTAAGTTGGCGTAGAACGTACGAAAATAACCAGTGTTTTAATCAGTATGGGTATCAGTTAGTTTATTGCCAGTTCTTCTCTTCCATTCTACGGCCTTGATTTGAGAACTGGCAGTAAATGTAAAATTAGAAGCATTTAATGTATATTTCTTTTTTAACGTTCATAAGTGTACATTGTGTTACCCATTTGAATAAATGATTTTTGATTTGTGACTTTTAAAAAAAATAAAATTATTACTTAAAAAGTTACCTTTATATTAGCACTAATGAATCTCCGTCGCGGCGGGCGTCTAACTCCAACATCACTTGTATTAGTCACATATAACATCATTTTTATGTCTTTAAAACAAAACTCAGTACATCACATATAGGTATTTAAATCTACTATAACATATATTCGCATAGCGCGATGTTACGCGCTCTACGTTGCTCTATGGCGTAGAATCTTGGCCGCTGACAGAGACAATGTCCAAAAAACTGGAAGCGTTCGAGATCTGGGTTTATCGACGTAAGCTTAAAATATCTTTGACAGACTGCATACGAAATACAGCTGCTGGACAGAATGCAGAAGAACAAAGTGCTTATGACGGTTTAGAAAAGAAAACGACAAAAATACGAGCACCTTCAACTAATCATACAAGGAAAAGTGGCAGCTAGAAGGAGACCTGGTCGCAGACGCAGGTCTTGGTTGAACTTTAGACAATGGTTTGGTCAAAGCACCAAGTCATTGTTTAGAAGCGCGGCATCCAAAACTAAACTAGCCCTGATGATCGCCAACCTTCGCAAGGAGATGGCACTATAAGTAATAACATTGAAGCGCCGGTACCATATCGACATCTAGGTATACATTTTTGGATATAATTTCGACAGTAGGTACTGTTAACACCCGTAGCGCTGATATCGTGACAGGAATCGACATTGTAAGTTACTTAGTACCGAGACTAGAACTTTGGCAATATTGCCAGGAGAGAACCAAATAGTCTCGACAAGTTGGTAATGGTAGGGAGGAGTGATGGCAGGAGAATTCGGGGTCGATCGCCTACCTGTTGGTGTACCAAATAAAGACAATTATGGGTCTCAATTTCCCTAATACCCAAGCTGAGGATAGAGTGGTGGGCAGCAAGTCGACGTATCGCTTAGGGGTTTTCTAAACAGACACGACCTTCAGTAATGAAGTTTGAGAAGCAGAAGAAGAGTACCGAGGCAGGTCTAAGGTTTTATAAGTAATAGTAATAATTAAAAATTGATAAATAGAAAATTAAAACAAGTTTGGTCCCTGTGGCAGTGTACCTTTAACGCTGGCATTTCCTCGTATTGCGATACTTATTCGTTGAGCGAGGAAAGCACCAACTCTGGGTCGGAACTGTCAGGCGCCAACTTAAAACATTAAGCTGTGCACTTGTGCAAGGGGTTCACCCCACGGCCCACACAAACAAAAACTAACTGAAAACTTTGCACTTAAAATTCGTACACGAACGAAACTGTACAAAGATCTCTATGGCTAGAGAAAATAAATTTGACTGCAGCGATCGAATGCTAAGTGATATTTCAGATAATTTGATTTTTATCACAATGATAAGATTACCAAGTGTCAATAAAACATCAAGATAAATCTACTTTATGTATCAGAGAAATGTTTTAAGAATATCATAGTTATAGCAAATTATTAAGTTATTGTCAAATATACACATGAAACGGCATTTAAATAGCCAATTTAAGGTAATCATTTCATAAAAGAAGATAGAGGAACTCACTCCAACACCATAGGCGAGCGAACACAAGCCTCGTCGATTTGAGGGGGTGGCACCATATGAGCCAAGAGTAAAGAAAGATAAATATCTGTTTTTAATAAATTATGGATTATTTATCTAAACAAATGAGTAAAAAACAATTACTACAAACCGACCAAACCTTTTTATGTGGTAATTTTCACCACTAATAACTTATTTATTTGACCTATAGGTGGTACGTCTCTTTTGAGGGCATTTCCCAAAACCCTTAGAAACTTAAAATCCAAAATTGAATATAATTTAACAAGAAAACAATTTATAATGCACAAACTCTAACTGAAAATAACTTTATTCATATAGGTAAACAAGTACACTTATGAACGTTAAAAAAGAAGTTAAATTAATTGTAAATTTACATTTACTACCAGTTCGCAAGGCAAGAGCGTAGAGCGGGCAAGAAGAACTGGCACAACGTCTAATACACGACAATCACCATCCCTATTATAAGCAGTCCAAGTACCTGGAGAAGGCCAGCCCAGATACCGTTGGATCAACAGAATAAAGTAGGACCTGCTACATCTGGAAGACAGCACAGCAGTGAGTGTGACAGAGTTTTGGAAGATTCTAGAACGTGGCAGAGCCAGAAGAGTCTCAAACTTCAAAAATCAGGCGGTATGTGCCTGCCAAAGTCTAACACATAGGTCTTTTGGTATAATGGTTGCAGCTATTTTCAAACATAATGTAAAACAAAAAACCTTGATTTGAGAACTGGCAGTAAATGTTAAATTAAAACCGTTTTATTTTTTGACGTTCATAAGTGTTCATTGTGTTACCTATAAGAATAAATGATTTTAGAATTTGAATTTCGAATTCGAACATAATATTTTGCCGAAGCAAAAATAAAATTACTACTGTACATTTTATATTTAAGTTGGGGCTTGGTAGATAGCACCAGTGACCCCAGAGCTGGTGCTTTCCTCGCTCACAAAGTATCGTAATACGGTGGTGGATGGTGCGCGGTGAAAAGCCGTAATAAACGCTCAGTGGTGGTACAACGAACAAAGAGGTGATACGGGTGGAATTTCGTATTCTGCCTCGACGTCCGATGATGAAATTCACAGTACACTTCACTTACGGCACAATATTTTGTAGTTTATTATCTTTCATTTAAAAATAGATATAGCGTGTTGAATAAATCACGGTTACCAATTGTTAGAAGTACTGGTGAATCTATTGTGAAAACTAAACGTTAATATGTAAATCGAAGACAGTAAATACGTCATTGTATATGTCACGATAACATATAATCTGCTGATTATTATTATCACTATTAATGCAGGTCTTAAAGTATTGCAATTTATCTGAAATATTAGGTCCTTACATATGAAATTGGCAAAAAAGTAGACTTTTTTTAAATAGAATATATTATGTATCTATGCACTTTTGCCGCGATTTTCATTAATTCCATTTTATAGAGTGACGCAAAGAAAAAAAGTTAAGACAGGAAAATTAAATGAATCATGGTTTTTGAAAAACAAATGCACAAGTAAATAGCTGTAAAAAATTAAATTTAGAATTCCCAACCAAAGAGGAGATATTTGAGGTCAAAGTGGGCAGTACGACTAAACCTCAATTTCATATGTAAGGACCTTATTTTATCAAAACGAATTATGTATATAAATAATGGAGCCGAGCCGTAAGTCGGCAAAAATTAATTAAACGAAATTAAACTCGATATAACTCAGTCAATGAAATAATAGCACGTCACCTTGAAATTCGATATTTCACTCGGATACTATGTCGAAATGTAACACACACTATCAGCAAATTCAACTATTAATTTAAATTTATTTTAACCAAATTTTAACCATTTGTCAACTTTCAGAGAAGAGGACTGGTCACTGGACGCCATCAGCAGGCAGTACCTACTGTGTAATGTTCATCACATAAATAAATAAACAGTTTTCCTATAGGTTATATCTTATTTCGTAATTCAGCGTCCACGGCGTATTTCCAGCTGTTCCTGAACCTGATTCTAAGTGGCCCAAGGGGGCCAAGGCTCACTTTGGGTCAGCTCGGAGTAGCTTTTTGAAGATATACTTCTTTTTGCGTGTTAGGGAAAAATTATGAGAGTAATTTTTTACGCTGCGCACGCACACCGTCACAAAAAACCGACACTCTGAAGTTAGCATAGTCAACCTTTTAAAATAAAAATGTCCATTTCTATAATTATGTAGAAATATTTTTTTTGTGATATTTAAATAAACTTTATTGAACCAGATAATGCGTTATAATAAAACTTTCAATGTATTAAATACCTTTTTTCTATAGTTAGTGTCGTTTTTCTACAAACGTAGAATACAATTTTTGAAAAGATTGTTATCTTGTTACGCCAAAGAAGTATAACTTCTAACGCGAATACATAAGTACACACATATTTTTTTATATAACATCCGGGAAGGTGTAGTGTAGGAAGACCTATTTAATTTTATTCGGAATTATGTTTGTTGAAGGTCCCATTCGGGGTTCTATATCGGGAATCTAGATATATTGTTCTAGCGTGGTTCAGAGGAGGCTATACCAATATACGAACTCACAATTATCTTTTTAATTGTCGGTTGCTGATGGTACGTTTCGCGTGACGGATGCAATAAATCAAAATATTTTGATTTAAATTTTTGTTGTTAATTATACTTCGTACGAAAATAGGACGATTAGAAAATTCTTAAAAGGAATGTCGACACAAAACAGAAAACAATATGTTATGATTTTATTATCAAAGAGATTCCGGCTTGGGACGGCTGGGCATCATTAATTTTGGAAATAAATCGTTATGATCGTAGAACAATGTCAGATTTGAAAAAAATCCGTCAAAATCAAATCGGTTATTGACTAAATATTACGGCTACATTAATAATGTAAAGGGACGGATTGGATAGAAACATGTGATTTTTCTAGAAAACTGTGTAATTTAATGATATTATTTTTATTTTGCTTCAAAACAAACCCTTTTGGTTTACTTGTATGCCAATTTTCATAATAACAGAATATGAATTAAAATAGTTATGACAAAAACTAACATGATTATATTATTTTGAAATGGCTGCCCTGTAAAGTTTACTATTTGTCAGATCCGTCACTATTCTACGACTATGGCGAAATATAGGATTCACGGATAATGGTGGATTTTTTTGTTCATTATAAAACATACAAATCTTTCCTCTATAATATTAGTATAAACATTTATTTCAGACACAAAAATCCATGGAACTGTGGTGGTCCCAGCGTGTGTCTCTCATCAGTGAGGTCATAGGTTCGATCCCCGGCTGTGCACCAATGAACTTTCTATGTCCAAAATTTACTTGAACGACGAAGGCTTGCCCAAAACTCCCAAAAAATCCATACCCAAAAAGTCGACGGCGTGTGTCACAGGAGGCTGACCTTACTTCGGTTCAAAGATAATTTATTTCTCAAAGAATTTCACATTCACTTACCGAGAAAATTTAGAGTAAGTTATGTACATCTGTGTGAAACTAAACTATATAAAATAAAAATATTGGTTTCTAACAATATATGTACAATATTTTTTACAAAAGTGCAG